CTGACTCCATTAATAGCTGTCATGTCCTGATGTCTAAAGGAGGTTTCGAGGACACATTTCACATGGCGCTGAACTCTTGGCTGTCACCGCCTAGTCTACAGTATCTGATGCTGATAAATAATTGTACATTTTTCACCCACTCAATAATTGTACATTCACACAGTGACGTACTGCATTTTCTGTCTTCCATGGGCTAATAATTGCTTTTTCTTTTTTTTGGTAGAATAATAATTGCTTTTTCTGAATTGTTTTTCCGAACTTTTGCTTAAAGTTGTTCCCTTAGCTTTGCTGGAAGGCGGGCAATACCACTAACATTTTTCAAAGCGTGGCTATGCTATTGGTAAATAGCAATATCTACATATCTTGACGTTTATCCCCTATTTACCAAAAAAAAAAAAAAACATACCATGACGTTTTGATTTTTTATTTTTGTTAATTGAGAAATAATGGTTATCTTTTTATTATTTTTTTTTCTCATTTTATACTATTTCTTTTAGTGAATTGGTGATGGTGATTAGATAAGAATTAAGTTTTTAATCTTGGTTAAATTGCACCCTATTCAATGCAGTTTAATCTTTGTTAAATTACACCTTATTCAATGCAATTAATTTTTGATTCAGTAATTTTTATTATATTATATGTTATTACATGTCATAATAAATATATTATTTTGAAATGTTTTAACAGTTAAATATCACTTAATTGATAAAATGATTAAAATTATATAATTTTTAAAATAAAAAAATAAAAAAATATAAAAAATAATTAAAAAATAAAAATTATGTAACATTATAAAATTATAAAACTAAAATTAATATTTAACCAATCGAAAACCAACTATCAAAATGATTTAATATTTGGTTCATGCTGGTAGACTCTACTCCTACTCTAGGTCTTGGTCTTTGTACTTCTCTTACCAAAAAAACAAAAAAATGGGACGTGGGGTTCTAACTTCTAACGGCACTGGTTTGGCACTGGTTGAACCACGTGCGTTCCCAAGCACTCACGAGTTATTATCTAGCAAGAATGTGGGACCTGATGGTGATGGTTTTAGCAGCCCCGCTATATCTAATGTCACTATTAAATCTATTGAGGCTATTAAAATGGTTAAATTTTTTAATTTAATTTAATTATCAAAAGTAATTAATATTTATTATTTAATATATTAAAATTAATTTATAAATA